GGATAAAATTAGGATTTTATGTACTGATTCATATGGAGTGATTCTCCATTTTCAAATTTAAAGTGATAAACCAGTGCTTCATTTGACAACAGATTCATACACAAAAGAAAGCATGAGCAAATGTCGTTATCGCAACAGACGTGTAAATTTGTATTTTCCCCCTGTATTCATCATTTTCAAGTTAATTCACAGCTGCCATCTTGGAGGAACTTCAACAAAGGATTTCTCATTAGTATCTATTGTTCTTTCGGACCCAACATTGCCGCCAGCCGCCACTAATCTTTTGAATTTCATACGTTTTTCTGACACCATCATGGAATGGTTGAAAACAATCAATTCATATAAGACCTAAGATTACAGTATTAGCCTCAACTCGGTGAAAATGCAAATGGTTAGCGCTATTGCGCTTACAACATTTTTCATAGTTTCTTTTATGTTTGGTAAAATGTCTTTGCGTAAGAAAATCTGCTGTCAAATAAAACAATTCGAAAATGTAGTACCGGTATTCTTGGATTGCACTTTAATGTCATGGCCATGTTTTGGATGAAGACTAATAAAGTGTGACACAAAATCAACTTGTGATCAGTAACGTTTTCAGTCATGCCAAAACTGTTGTGGATGGGGCGCCGGCATGTATAAAACCCCAATGAGATTTTCAAATAATGTGCTGGGCGTTTCATATGTGAACACTATTAAACGTATACCGTAATCAATAAAAAAAATAGTCTTTACATGAATTAAAGTGAACCATAGTTTAAATAAAGATCCCGTAAGATTTTAAAACTGTCCAACGCGGCAAGTGTTATGTAAGAAGTCAAGTAAACTCAAGTCTCGAATCCTACACTTACATTCCTTTTTCTTGTACTCAAGACATTCGTGCTGATATATTTCTCCTAATTGTCTAAGATAAGTCTCCGTAGCTTCATTGACATCGCTTTTTGCTGACATTTTGGCTTGCAAATGAACTTTACTGTCCGTCCGCCATTTTGATTTTTTAAAGCAACCGCTGACCCAAAATATCGAGTTGTTAGTTCATTTTCCCCAGGCTTTTTGGCCGTCGACCTCCCAACGAAACAGGGTCCTCTTGAAGCACCATTTGTCCTAAAAAGACAACTTCACAATTCGCTTCAGTCCATTTTGAGATGTGTCAGGGCAAACCATTCATTATGGCTGCAATGTTAGCCTGCGTAGCTGGCCTGTGAAAAGACTTCTCGAGTCTTACGTCACTAGTGGGATCAGTTTTCAAAGAGAAAACAAAAGAAATCCGCCATGTTCTGACCCAAACATATCCTACAATGCATTGCGTATAAGGTACATGGCGTAAAAGCTTCAGAGGTTTATTCCATTGCAAGGAAATTGATAAATCATATTCACTGCAAAAACATGGAATACTTTCAGGCACAGACCAAAGACGAAACTTGATGATCCAGCGCATAGCTCTGTCTTCTACACGGTTCCCTGCGCCATCTTGAAAAGTAGCCGTGCAGTAGCCGAGCCTTTACATCGAAGCGAGACGACCGTTGAGCGTGCAATCATAGAAACCTTCTTTCACACCTATAGACATTTATTCACAGGTTTCTATCATTGTACGCTCAACGGTTGATCTCGCTTCGGCACTGCTACTTTTTAAAATGGCGCAGGGAACTACATGTATTAGCATGGGTCCAAGATGGGATTGGAGTGAGGATCTCCCTCGTCCCTTTACCAATCTTTTTAGGCCCGCTACGTAGGCTAGCACATAGTTCCAGTTCACAAGCTTTATCCGCTCCAAGACGTTTCTTTATCAGTTCGGCATTCAGTTTTATTCTATTTCGCATATAAATTACAATTATCATTATTAAAAACGATTTTAGCTTAGTTCAAATCCTGCCCCTGATTCAACAGCGTACAGAAGCTTTTCTCTCATGGTGTCATCGTCGGGAAACTCGGGTAATTTTAGGAGATTCATGCAAGTACTTGCTGTGGGAAGCCTGTCTTCTTGTCCAGCACTGTGGACGCAAAAGGCTGGGTACAAGTCCTAAAAAAACGTAAGAAAATAAAACGAAATCTAACATAAGTAAAACAAAAAATATCTATGTCAATGTGAGATGGACCATACGCAATAACATGCTTAAATTAAAGCAACATTTAAACGTACCTTGAATCCTAACAGCGGTGGTCTTGAGCAACTCGTTACGAATTTTAATAGTTGTCTCTTTTGCGTGTCGTCGAAGCTCTCGACCGCGCGCCAAAACGATTGTATGCAAGGGTGATCTTCATTAAATCCGCCTGATAATTGTAAATTCGATATTAGATCTGAATATAGGATAAGTGAACAGTAGAATATTTTGTCGCGAGACTATTATGCGATACAAAGAAAAATACAAAGAAAGGATAGAACTTGAGGAAAAGAAGAAAAAATGGAGTCAGAATGTTGGAGATGACAACAAACACATTGATGATGATGACGGTAATGACGGTGGTGGTGTTAACTCTAACCTGAGTAATTTGTGTTTCGCTTTAAATCATCTACATCGACGGGGACTTGCGCACCGGAAATGAGAACCTGATGAATAAAACATCATCAAAATAAAAACAGCTAACTTTGTAAAATCAGTAAAGTGTCTGAGTTTTAATCAAATTTAATCTTGAATATGTGAAAATTGCAGCCAGGATTCATACTGGAATAGAAATACTTCTGACTCAGATATATAATCAGAAGTAAGTTATTCAGACGTTTTGGTCTGCGAACATAGACCTTTATAAGTGCTAAAACTTGACAAAAAAACATTGGTATTGTTTGAACCGACGCGCGCACTAGTACCAACGATCTTTTTGCAAAACTTTCGCACTGATGAAGGATTTAGCAGACCGAAACGCCTGAAAAAACACTGATTGATTGTATATTTAGGCCAGAGGAAAAGTATTTCATTAATAAATATTTTGTACCTGAATCTCTTGGTGGTCGAACATACGCAGCCAGTCCAAGTCAATAACGCCCGCGAGACCAGCTCGAAAGACTTGACAATAACTGTGAATCTACACAAATGAAACAGGATTCAACGTTCGTTCTTCGTTTTTACCTACGTCACAGCGACCATCTTGGAGGAACTTCAACAAATGACTTCTCATTAGCATCATTAACTATGTTAGCATGTATTGTTTATTCCTCCAACATGGCTGCCGGTCTTTTATCTTTTGAATCTCATGGGAATGGTTGAAAATGATCAATTTATTTTGTAATAAAACAAATTGACAGTTAAATGCTATACTTTCTGTCGAATAGAGTACAAACAGTAAAACTGTGCAAAAATACCACTAAATACTGCTAAAGTATGCTAATTTTATTGTTTTCTATTGTTTAATTAACACTATTTTGTAGTAAATAGTGGAAAGTGTTGCACACATTTAATGTTTGTACTCTAGTCTCCCCTTCCCTGTTACCTGCGCCATCTTAAAAAGTACCCGTGCCTTCACATCGAAGCGAGACGACCGTTGAGCATGAAATGATAGATACCTGTGAATAATTGTCTGTAGGTGTGAAAGAAGGTTTCTATCATTCAGTCCCGTAGGCTGGGGGAGTTCTGGGGGTTCGGACGAATCACCCACAAGCTTAAAAAGTCCGGTGTTTCTCTTTTATTATTGTTGTGTTTTAAAATTCTTTTGTTATGAACTGTTTTTGAGGTTATTTTGTTATTATGAAGTGCTCATTCTAGCAGCCAGTTCTTACACACTATACCTGTGCATTGAACTAATTTCGTTAAACATTTAATTTAGGTCAGCATTATGAAAAAAAACGAACCCCCCATTTGTAAGGCATCATACGGGCCTGTCATTACACGCTCAACGGTCGTCTGGCGCACCTAATCGTGAAGGAGACTATTGTCCAACGTCCGGGATGTTAGTATGTATTATCACTAACGACAGTCTRTCTGTCTTACCTGTCTATTTAACCGATAGTCGGCTACAAGGTGTATGTACAGTATTCTATTGCTGTTTGTTACAGCGATGTCTTTACCATTCGGAAGTAGCTCAACTACCTGGAAATGAAATGATAAGTCATACATTGTCGGCAAAAGCGAAGCACAGCATTATTATATTATAAATTATCTTTGAAAAAAGTACATTTGGACTTTATATCTTAGTCGTATGGAAAGGCTGTATCGTAGCCGTATCGTGACCATATCGTAATCATATCGTAGCCTAGTCGTAT